CAGTTCTGGGCTTCAGTTTCCTCATCTGTAAAATGAGGGGGTTGGACTGAGTAACCATTAACACTAGAAAGTTCCTTCCAACTCTACACCTTTGACCCTAATAAAGAAGAGAAAAAGCCCAATCTGGAAGTCACTAGAACAAAATGCTGCAATTTTTCCCTTACACAAAAGGATTTCTCTTTTGGAGAACTGACCTAATTCATATATGAATCACTGTGCCCATCTAAGTAGAACGTGTTGGAAAACTAACTTGGGAAAGGAAATGTATGGGCTCTTCTGAATGGGCAGTGCAAAGTTCTTTTCCCCATGCTCCCTTTTCATGTAAAGTGAGAAATAATTATCTTTTCTGAACCATAAAAGAAGTAAAACTGGTACACTGTGGAATGGATGCAAGCCTGGTTTCTATCTCAGCCAAGAACTACTATGAAGGCAGTATTTCTTCTCCCAGTCTCTTTGATTTATAATTAAAAGTTCAAATCCCAATAAAAAAAATGATTATTTTTTTAACTTGCTGTGGGTGAGGGCCAAATTGTCATCGGGTACTGTTATTTCCCACAGGAACTTCCCAGAGCCTAAGATCAAAAAGAAAAAAACATCTTCTGACTTCCTTCAGTGACATGCTGTAGCAGGAAGAGCTCCCTCACTTTAATATTAAATATTGATGTAAGATTTGTCATGCTTGACGAGTCATTTCTTTCTCATTTCCATTAATGTTTGGAACTTATGAAATATTTGTTCCCAGGGAGAGAGGCCCTTCTTTTGTTAGCACAGAAGACAGAGGGCTATCATTGAGCTAGCACAGGGATTTACTTATTTGGATGCCTGGAATGGGCCAGTTTCATTTATCCATGGTTATCTAGTGATATTTTCACAGTAACAACCTGGCATTTACCAACAGAACAGATGACAATCTGTTGCAGCTGCTTTTGAGGAACTTAGTCAATAAGCACTTATTAAGCACCTACTATGTGCCGGGCACTGTGCTAAGTGCTGGTTTAAATCACAGTTCAGTAATTTTGAATGGCTCTAAGGTCTGGGAATACAAGCAAAGGTAAAAGACTCAAGGAGCTCATGGTCTATTGGAAAGGTAATGTGTAAACAACTATATACAAATAAAGTGTGAATGTGTCTGGCCTTTTATGTATGGGCTGTATGAATAAAACAAGAGACATAAAATATGTATTTACATACGAAGTGAGAAATATATACGAGAAATATATGTATGTAGATATGGGATAGGGTTTACATTCATACACACATATATACATATGTGTATAGATATAGGTGTGTGGATGTGTGTGGATGTAAACCTTATTCTATATATATGATATATATATGTGTGTGTATATATGCATGTATGTGTATGTGAATGTAAACACTATCTCAAAGCCCACTGGTATTAAACCTTGTCTCAAAACCCATTGGTATAGGACTCTCTCCTCATTGATGGAGATGAATGATGAAATATATAAATATATATATATATATATATATATATATGTAGATGATGAATTTTATAAAGAGAGAGAGAGACTTTACATACACACATATATACATATATGTGAATGTTAACCCTATCCCAAAGGCCATTGGTATGAGATTTTCTCCTCATTGGTGGAGATAAATGTCCTGTCCTGTGTGAGGGGAAGGGAGGAGCTGTCAAGAGCAGGAGAACTCCAGCCTTCTTCAGTCTTCTTAAGGAGGTCATAGGGAGCCATTTTCCCCCAGAAGAACAAACCAGCCAATAATGTTAAAAAACACATCTTTTAAAAAAATTATCATAGGCACATTTTACTTCATACAAGAAAAGATGATTAGTTTGAGACATCAAAGGGAGCATGAAGAAAGCCAGGTCAGGGAAGAGGGGAAAGGGAAGACAGCTAGGTGTTGCATGGATAGAGTGCTGGACTTGAAGTCAGGAAGAGCTTAGTTTAGATCCTGCCTCAGACATTTACCATGAACAAGTCACTTCGTGTCTCATTTTCAATGTCCTCCTCTATAAAAATGGGAATAATGATAGCATCTACCTCATAGAGTTGTTGTAAGGATCAGATGAAATAACATGATTAAAGTACATTGAAAACTTTAAAGTTCTATATAATGCAATTATTATTATTATTAGTATTAATTATTATTCTATTATTAGTGATTAGGTACAAAATAAGGATACTTTCAATAGATCATATCTGGATACATAAGGGCCTAGCCTTTGGTGCCTTGATCTTTTAGTTTGGGCAAGAGGAAGAAGAAGAGCAATAATCCAAGAGAGAGGTGCCATCTTGCCCTGGCATTCAGCTTAGGCCATGCTCTTGGCCACTCTTAGCTCACCTGAGCTGTCCCACATAGAAGGGCAATTACTGGATATCAAAGAGGACCAGGAGATTTATGGGGAGGATGGGCAAAGTCTCAGTCACCTCTGATTGGTTCCCTACTTCTGCTGTAGTAAGCAGATTGGCACCAATGAGCTGAGGCTAGAAGTGTCTAAGAAAGAAAATGACTTATTTGAGGGCTCTTGCGAAGAAGGGCCAGGACAAGAGTACCAGGCAGGAGGAGGCATCCCTAGAATGGAGGCAGCCGGTTGCAAGAATGACTAGCTTTCTCCCTGATCCCCTCTTCCCATTCCTTTAAGCCAGAGGTTTCTAGCCTACCATCAGATATGAACTTACTGTGATGGTTGGCAGATTCAGAAGCATATAGGTGACTCTCAGTCTTCTCCACTCGTCTTTATTTGTTGCACTGTTTAGTTTTTCAGTGTAGGCTGATGGCTATTTGCTCATTAATTTCACTTGGACTACCCTACTTTTCTTATCCCCTTCTTTCATTGTTTTTCTCCTTCCCCATCTTCTTGTAATTATAGTCTCAGTGTTGGTCTTTCATCATTAAGGCTGGTAAATTAGCATGTTGCCCATGGGTTTTTTAAAATCATGCAGATCGCACCGCCCTGTCTGTATTCCTGATTGGTTACATCAACATCCCCCCAACTCAGCCCTAGGACAAAGGTCACCAACCATTTTATCTGATTAATGCCCTAAAACAAATTATTTTAAAATAACTTTGGCATAATAATGTAGGCATCTTGAACTCAACATGCCTGAAACAGAACTCATCATCTTCTTCCCCAACTCCCATTCACCCCAAACCCTCCTCTCTTCCTTACTTTCCCATTTCTATGCAGGACATCACCATTCTTCTATTCATCCAGGTTTGCAACTTAGGAGTCATATTCACTGTTCTACCTCCTTCACATCCTGTGCTCAACTCAAATACTATCTACTACAAGAGGCCTTGCCCTGTCCCTACATCCTCTTGGCCTTCCCTTCTAAAGATACCTTCCTTTCTACTCTCTCCATGTCTTGTATCTACCTATTCATTTACATGTCATTGCCCCTATTTGTATGTAAGCTTTTTGAGGACAGGGACTGGTTTTGTGCTTTGCCTTTCTTTGTATCTCTAGTGCTTAGTGAAGTGCCAGGAACATAGGAAGTCCTTAAAAAATGCTTGTTGGTTGATTATTGATTCTTTTTCTACAAAATCTCTCTATCTGTTCCCTTCTCTCCTTTCACACAACCACCACCCTAGATCAAGCCCTCACCGTCTCTGGCCTAGACTATTGCAATAGCCTCCTAATTGGTCAATCAGTCACTAAGCACTGCCCACTGTGCTCTGTGCCAAGCATTCAGGATACAAAGAAAGGCAAGACGGGTCTCCCCACTTATATTCTCTTCTCTCTCCCATCCATCTTCCACATAGCAGCCAAAAGCACATGCCTCTGTTTGGTATTCAAAGTCCTTCAGAACCTGACTTCAGCCACCTCTCCAGGATTATTGCACTTTGCTCACCGTCATGTACTCCTTCTTCTAGTCTAGCCAAGTCATGTAACTGCCATCTGCCTCAGTTTCCTCTAATGTAGAATGGGGGTAATAATAACACCTACCTCTAGGGCTCGTTGTGAGGATCAAAATGTGATGTTGTTGTTGTTATTTGTCCTTCATTCTCAAACAGGGCCATGACATCAGGAAGATGATGCCATGACTTGCAAGTGAATATTCATAAAGTGCCTGGCACACAACAATTTATAATAATAGCATGTGTTTACATTGTTTGACATTTATTTATATTGCATATTTACTTACATAATGCTTACTATGTGTCAGGTATCATGGTAAGCCCAAGGTATAGTCTCAGAGGGAAAACACCATGATCAAGGAACACTGGGGAGAGGCTTCTTACAAAGTGAAACTTTAGCTGAGACTTGAATGAAGGAAAGCAGGGAAGCCAGGAGGAGAAATGAGAAATGAAAGCCAGTAAAAATACTCAGAATTGAGAAATAAAGTGTCAGGTGTGAGGAATAGCAAGGAGGCCAAAGTCAATTGATTGCATGTGGAGGGTAGTCGAGTATAAGCATGCTGGAAAGTTAAGAAGGAGCCAGGTTATGAAGAGCTTTAAAAGCCAAATAGAGGATTTTTATATTTGATCCTGGAGGTGATAGGGAGCCACTGGAGGTTTTTGAATGGAGGAAGGGACAATACACTTGTGCCTGTGCTTTAAGAAGACCAATCTGACAACTGAGAGGAGAATGGATTGGAGTGGGGAGAAATTTGAGATAGGGTGACGACCTTTACCAAGATGGCGGCCATTTCAGGGTCTGAAGAGAAAAGGGGATGTATACAAGAGATGTTACAGAGATAGAAACAGGACTTGAAAATTGATTGGCAATGGGAGATTTGAGAGAGTGGGGAGTTAATGATGACACCTGGGTTGTAAGCCTGATTGGGAGGGTGGTGGTACCCTAGACACTAATAGGGAAGTTAGAGAGAGTTTTGGGAAAATACAATAAGTTCAATTTGGGACAGGTTGAGTGGATGAACAAATGAATGAACTAAATGTGAATGGATCTGACCAGTTTATCATCCTAAAATACCAATAGTTTGAGAGGATTGTTTATAATGATAATAACTAATAAATAATAAAATGCTTGTTTTTCTTTTCTTTTCTTTTAGCCTCCTTGACTGTTATTTCAGTGAAGGCAGTCTCAAGTATGATCATTCTCTCTGTAAAGGGGAAAATGCAGCTAACCTACCCTATCTTTTATATCATGTTCATCATCATGATGGCATCTTGTATTTTTCAGGTCAAGTAAGTCAGCTCCTACATCTCTACTAATTTTTCAGTATTCCTCGCTGTTGCTCTGCATTTTGATGTGTGTTGACTACACGTAAAGACTAAAGTGAGGTATAGCCAGCCTCTTTCCATGTTTGTCAAACTCATACAGCCTGCCATTCTCTCTTGCTTTGTCATTCTCCTCTAGTCATAAGGGGCTTTTTCTCTCTCTTTCTAAACAGAACCTTAATGTCTTGTGATTTTTAAAGTGCTACATAATCCAGTTAAGTGCACTTTGATGCTTTCCTGATGCTCTTTTACTTGTAATTAATATCCATGTTACATATATTGTCATTAGCAATAAATCACAGGAGTAAGTCTACATCCAGGGATTTCATTCTAAATATAGGAAATCCATGAACCTTTCACCTTCGTCTCTTAGCTCATGTTCATTAATTGCTCAGAGATGGAAGAAACCAGACATTTGGCTGGGAAGGAAATCCTTTCATGAGAACTTTTGTCTTCCACTGGAACTAACCTTGTGCTTGTCAGCCACTAAGTGATTATTGCATGGTGTCTAGTAGTGGTGGCATTATACATTTAAAACCTCTTCCTTCTTTCCTCTCTCTCTCTCTTTCTCTCTCTCCTCCATATCTTCCTCCCTTCTCTTTCCCTTCCCTCAATTGCTTTGATCCATTCCCCCCCCTTCAAAGCGTGATTACTCCTCTGCCTGCTATGTTCCCATGAATCAGCCATATGGTCTTTAAAAGAAGTTTTATGTTCCCCCAAAAATGTCACACAAAAATAACTTCTCAGTGATCTAGCGTCAGCAAATTCCTATGCCAGCTGGGGAATATCAGGCCATGTTCAGAGAGAAAGAGAGAATTTCCTTGCTCCACTCTATACATTGGCCCAGCTGCTCATTCAGTACATATTCCTTCTAAACAAGGGATATTCTCCTAAGATGACTATTGAGCATCCGTAGGAGGAATTTGGAGAAACCCAGCCATTTGTCACTGTTGTTTTACTTTTCATTTTCTTACCAAAAAAACTGTAAGTAGAATTTCTAATGAGCACAGACATCTAGAAAACCTGTCCCTGTATTTTGCTATTCTCTGTCCTGTTCACCTTTTCTTCTCAGTAAAGCAGACAGACAAACTGGTGTATTGGGTAGAAAGCTACCCCATCCAGTGCCAGCCCTATACCCCCGACCCTGCTCACCATTCTTGATCCTTTGGAAACCTTACAGGAGGGCATCTTCATTCCCAGAGTGCCACAGAAACCGAGCAAGAACTAAAACTTGTGTTAATGGCTGGAGGCAGTGGGAGGCTGCGCTATTCACATATGCTCTACAGCTGGAGCACCGATCATTGTTTTTGAAACCCTAGACAAGTCTTTGACTTCTCCATCTTCTTCTTGGCATGAGGCATGTCAATGGGCAGTCCGGTTATTCCCAAAATCTGATGTCTAACAGATCCCATTGCCTATCCTGATGTGATACTAGTTTGAAATACTTCCAACTGAAACTTCTCGTGGCCTCTGAACATGATTAATTACTTTTCGTTATTACTGTTGTTGGTTTAAACAGACCATAAAAACTGACATCTGATCTCATACATCAAATGCATATAGGCTGTGACCGCTGGTTTGGAATGCTCTGTTGGTATATTTCTCTTTGTAGTTATGGCTGAACTCCATGGACTCCTTAAAGTTCTTGCTAATAGCAAATGTATCTTCTCTCAGAGTCAGTAACTGTTTTCTGTTCTAGGTTTCTGAACCAAGCCACACAGCTCTACAGTACAACCACAGTTGTACCATTGAATTACATATTCTTCACTACCAGTGCCATTATTGCAGGTAGGCATCTGGGTTATGGACATTGTATATAAACAAGCATTTATTTCATTTATTCAGTTTCACAGGGCAGGCATCTGGGTTATGGACATTGTATATAAACAAGCATTTATTTCATTTATTCAGTTTCACAGGGCATTGTGTTAGGCATTAAGGAAGATACAGTGACCAAAGAGGAGCACTTCCTGCCCTCAGAGAACTTACATTCTCCTGGAGGTCATATACCATGTTCAAAGTCACTACAAAGTACATAGAAAGGCATGCTAAGTAATTCCAAGAGTTAAATGATGCTGACACCTGGAGTGGGGGAAGAGGGGACTCTGAGTTGTTAGGATAATTAATAGTCTGAGTCTGAGAGTTGAACTTTGCACTGAGATTCTGATGCTCCAAGGTCAGTTTGGGCCCTTTCTCCATTGTTGCTAATGACAATCACACCATAACTTAATGGATGGTCTTCAAGAATCTAATAACTCTTCAAGGCAGAGTTGAGGAAGAGGCACCTTCCATTGAAGGTTTGAAGGACAACAAAGGTAAGAGGTAGAATGTGACAGCTAGCAGTCCAGTTTGACTAGAAGAGAAAGTACATGAAAGGGACTAGCAAAGACCAAATAAGCCTGGAAAGGTAGGTGGGAGCCAGATTGTGAGGGCTTTTAATGCCAGGCTAAGGATTTTGATTAAACATGATTAAATAATTTCTCCAAATACAAGTTTCTTTTGCTCTTGACTGAAAAGTGTTGGGTATTTGTTTGTTTTTCATGACTAAAATAATAATATAAGAAAAAATAATATAAAGTTAAGAAACTTGGTCTAAACCAAAATACTATATATTCATTCAGCTGTAGTTTTTCTAAGTTTGACAGTAGTGGCTTGTCCTATTTTTTTTGGCCAGAGGTGTACCTGCCACATCTGTGTTTCAGGAGGATTCATCTCCCAATGCAAAGTTCATGCATTTTCTTTGTGTATCGTGATTTCTCTATTTTTGAATAGGTACAATCATTTTTGCAGTGTGACAGACTAGGGTGGCTTGCCCACAAACTGTGCTCAGGAATAATTAATTGTCTGCTTCTGCGGGTTGAACTTTGCACTTCGATTCCAATCCTTCAAGGGTCTGTGATTAGTTTGGGTCTTCTCTGCATTGGTACTGATCACAGTCCCTCTAAAACTTAATGGATGGTCTTCAAGAATTGCTATAGCCAGAACATTAACCCCTCAAGGTCAACCAGATGGTAAACCTTGCCAAATTTATTAAGGCTAGTCTTCAGCCAACAGACATCCATACAGCCTTTCAACCAGGTCCATGCTCAAAACCAGTCCAGTTTTGTTAGATTTGCCCGGAGCTTACATTATTGCTGTTAGCATTCAAAAACACAAGGCCACCTCCACAGCAATAAGAGGCATGCTAGTAGAATTTTTGTGAAGAATCTGTACACTAAATGAAGGAAATAAAATACAGGTCTAGGATGCTTCTAACGTTAGCGTGACGTAGTGGCCTTAAACTGAGGTAGGCCTGAGTTTAGGTCTCAGCTCTGAGACCGTACTGATGGTGGGAGCTGGGAAAGACATTTAAGTCCTCAGTACTCTGAGTAGCCCTCTAAACTACAGAAAAGGTATTGACCCACATTGGTAGATAGAGTTTCCTTATCTGGGACTTCCTTATGCCAATGAAATCACAGATCCAGTCCTTCTCCTTCTCCCCTAATATTTTGTTCTTGTTGGGAATTTAAAACTCAAAGAATATAACCAAAAAGACATTCTCTCTCTCTCTCTCCTCTCTCTCTCTCTCTCTCTCTATATATATATATATATATATATATATATATGTAAGTATATATATATATATATATATACATATATATACACATACATACATGAGTATAAATACATAGCTCTCTAAGTTTTATATCCCTGAGGGAAAGAAAGAAAGAAGGCCATCATCGTTTATGTGTATCTTACGAAATGTAATATTAATGTGCACAAGAAACTTTACTTTTTTGTTGGAGAGAAAGTACAAATAGAAAGCTTAGTTTACATTAATGGGAAAGAGCCTTCTATATGTTCATGTCAGACTGGACCATCTCTGCTCAGCAAATCAGTCAGTCAGCCAGCAAGCATCCATTAAGTGCTTACTATGCTGAGCCCTGTGCTAAATTCTGGGAATACAAAGAAAAGTAAAAGACACAATTCCTGCCCTCAAGGAGCTCACATTCTAATAGAGGAGACATTCAAACAACTCTGTAAGTACAAGATAGATGCAGATTAGGTGCAAAGTCATCTCTGAGGAAAAGCACTAGCAGGGATAGGGAGAGAAGGGAGGGGAACACTGACAAAGGTCTCCTGTAGGAGATGGGATTTGAGCTGAGTCTTAAAAGAAGCCTGGGAAGCCAGGAGGCACAGGTCAGGAGAGAGTGTTCCAGGCCTGGAGAATGGCCAGTGAAAAGGCAAGAAGGCCAATATTTTTTAATCCTAGAGTACATGGAAGAGTAAAGTATATAATATAGGAAGGGGCCAACTTATAAAGGACTTTAAATACCAAATAGAGGCTTTTAAATTTGACCTTGGAGTTTACTGAGGAGGAAGCTGATATGGGATGACATCCTGCACTTTAGGAATCATTTTGGCAGCTTTTATGATACCAATCAATTGGAAGATGTTATTAACAGCTAGAAATTCCTAGGATTAGTGGCAATTAGCATGATTTCACTGGAATGGAGTATAGGGTACTGTTGGCCAATTTCCCATTCCAAAAGAATCAGTTTCACCAGAAGCAATAAATCGCATGCCTTCTGAAATATATCAGCCCTCTGGTATATTTTATTTAATTTCTATTTAGCTGCTACCTTATTATGCTTAGCACTGGGTTTGGTACTGTGAAAGGTACATGTACCTGCCTGCAAAAAAAGCTTATCATCTAATTTAGGCAATGACTAACTCCATGAGATTAACAAATAGCATAACACACAATTAATACACAATACAAAAAATATGTTATTCAATGTTAAATTGTATGGTATAACTAAAAAGTTTGGTAGACATTCAAAAAAGAGTAAGATAATCAATAAACACTTATGAAGCTTCTAAAAGAGTCAAAAGCCTATCTCTGCCCCAAAGGAACAAAAACGTCCAGCAGGGGAGACATTTTGTTGTTATGTGGTCATTTCAGTTGTGCCTGACTCTCTGTTGGCAAAGATACTGGAGTAGTTTGCCATTTCCTTCTCCAGCCTATTTTACAGATGAGGAAACTGAGGCAAACAGGGTTAAGTGGCTTGCCCAGGGTCACACAGCTAATAAGTGTCGGAGGCCAGATTTAAGCTCAGGAATATGAGTCTTCCTGACTCTAGGCCTAGCATTCTATCCACTGCACCACCTAGTCACCCTTAATGGGGGAAACAACAAATGAACAGATATGTACAAACAAGCTATATGGGACAAATAAGAAGTAATTAAAAGAGAATTTAAGGGGTTGGGAGAGGCTTCCTATAAAAGATATGATTTTAATTGGGACTTGAAGGAAGCCAGAGATGATTAAGGACTGGATAAGTCAGAGGATTCATAAAGGAGATGGTACTTAAGATGGGCCTGAAAGAATGGGTAGCATTTGAATACACAGAAGGGAAGGGGGACATGCCAGGTTAGGGGAGCAACATAAGAGAGGAGGTGATCCTGAGCAGTGAGGAGACTGGCTTGATTAGATCAAAGGGTGCATATTGAAGAGTATTGGAAAATAATGTTGGGTGGGGACCAGATTCCGTTTTAATTCAATTCAATTTAATTCAGTTCAGTTGAAAGCATTAAGTGTCTGTTTTGTACACTGTACTTCCTAGGGAATACATAGAAGGAAAAAAGCCACCAAAATCCCTATCCTCAAGGAGCTTACATTCAGTTGAAAACCATGCAACAGAATTTTAGACATGAATGCAACAAGATACAGAGGCACATTCATTGAAAGGTTTTGAATGGGGAAGTCAATTGATGAAAGTAACATTTAAGGAAGATTAGTCTGGTAGCAATATTCAGGGTGTAGAACAAGTAGGCTTGGCCTAGGATTTGGGCAGTGAGAATGGAGAGAAAGGGATGGTTTTTAAAGGCAAAAATAAGCAGATTTTGATGATTAATTGAAGGAGAAGTGTAAACTAGAGAGAGATTCTGAACTATTTGAAGATAAAACCTTCAGCCAGATCAAGACATTCCTATTCGTATGCATTCACATGAGTTATGCATAATGAATAACAATTGTAATGTGATACAATGTGTATGTACAGCTGAAAACACTTCAATGTGTTATCTTCCCCAATTCAACAGTGAACTCCTTTGGAAACTGGAACACTTTAGTTTTCAGTTTGCATCCAAGGGGTTTAAGCAAGTGCTTGGCACATAGCACACACCTAATAAATGCTTTTTCATTCGTTCATGTGTGTGTATATATACATATACATGGTGAGATTTTCTCTTCCACTTTTAGAATAGGGACAGGAGGAAAGAGAAGAGTGACTCAAGAGTCATGCAGAGGTTCAGGGTATCCGTGCCTTCTATCAATATAAACAGCTAGTGAGTGGTGCAGTGGGTAGAGTACTGGAATTGAGATTACTTCAGATCTGGCCTCAGAAGCTAGTTGGATAACCCTGGGCAGGTCTCTTAAAGGTTGTTGTGAAGTGAAAATGAGATAATATTTATAAAGCACTTTTGTAAACTTTGAAGTGCTCTATAAATGCTAGCTAGTATCATTATTATTATAGTCACAATACCAAAACTATATGACAGTGAAGCATTAAAATTATAGAGTTAGTGATCAACAGGCAGTTAGGTGGCACAGTAGATAGAGTGCAGGACCTGGAGTCAGGAAGACATGAGTTCAAAACTGGCTTGATACTTTCTAATTGTATGACCCTGGGCAAGTCACTTAACACTGTTTGCTTCAGTTTCCTCACCTGTCAAATGAGCTAGAAAAGGAAATGGCAAACCACTCCAATATCTCTGCCAAGAAAATCCCAAATGAGGTCATGAAAAGTCAGACCCAACTGAACAACAACATTTACTTAAAGCCAATGGCATGATATTGTTTTTTAGAAATGAATCCTGTGCAGCTGTAGCTGAAATACGTAATTCTTTTTCTTTTTGATCTCATTCTAGGAATCATATTTTATCAGGAATTCCTTGGGGCAGCCTTGCTTACTTCATTCATGTACCTTTTTGGGTGAGTATTCCAAAAGCTTACTAAAAGCTAGCAAATTGAAAGGAAAAAATTCCTTTTTGAAATACTTGAATATGGAATCATATTTCTTTCATTTATATTCTTGAGTACCATGTATGTGGTATAGGTGCTATACATATAATGTGGGACACAAGCAAATACAGCCAGAATCTTAACTCTGAACAGAAAGATTTTTTTAAGTCAGCATCCCAGGCATTACTTTGGTTACGTGACACGTCATTAAGGTGTGTGTCTCTCTGAGGGCTTCAAGATGGTCGGGTATTTTCTGTTCTACCATAAGCTACAAAATCACTTTGGCCCTGTCCATGGCCCACCATCACAGCCTGTATCAGACCCACACAAACGCACAAGACACTCCCTAGTAAACACTCCAGGCATCTTATAGGACCACTCATGCCCTCAGGGCCACCCAGACCGACAGACGCAATTATATTGGGGCAGGCTGAGGGCTGGGGCTTGATAATATTCTGTATTGGTATAGTTCTCCTGTTTTCAAAGTCCTTTGATATGGGACCCCACTATGTGGGTTTAGTGACTATGATCCCTAATACTCATCCTCACCTAAGAAGATTGGAAGCCCTAAAAAGGCCCTACATTGTCATTGAGCTCTTGAAAACAATTAGCTAACTAGTAAGCATTTATTAGGCACTTACTCTATGCCAGACACCACGTCAGGCACTGAGGATATAGACATGAATCACAGTGAACAACGTATGGAGCTCGTTCTCGTGTCCATGGCAATGACAGCTTTCTGACAGTGTACTCACTTGATCTTAATTACACCATAAAGTTCCAACTTGAGTTTTGTTTTTACTCTACTCTGAACAAGAAAAAAAGTCTGCTTGAAAATGTAATTTCATAAAATATTGTGTAAGGCTGAATTTCTGGATCTGGACCCTATGACTAATCTTGAGGCCAAGGATAATGAAATGTCCTAGAAAATTAAAGAATCATTTTCTTTAAATCATATGTTGAGTACCAGTAATAGGGATAGGCTAAGAGGCTAGGGCTTGATTTAGCCAACCAGATGGTGAAAACATGGGGCAAGGATTTATGAGAAGCTACCCAGGCCTCAGATTTGGGTGTAAGCATCTTCAACCACAACAAGGACTATGATGGCCAGCTCACTACGAATGAGAAACAGGAGGAGCAAAGCTGTTGGAATCTGTGTTGCTACTGGGAGTAGGAAGTTCCAGTTACTTATTTGTTTAAATGATGGGTAGTTCCATTATTTTTTTTTTTACAATCACTATTCTTACAGGTGTTTTCTGTCTTTCTTTGGAGTGGTTTTGGTCACAAGAAATAGAGAAAATGAACATTTACAACAATCATATATTGATTTTGGACAGATTCCTGGTAAGATTTCAGACTCAATTCACAAAAATCCCTGTTTTCACAAATCAATCTACCCACAGGTATTTTTAATGTGTCAGGCTTTGGGGATACAAAAGTGAAACAGTCCCTGTCCTAAAAGAGTTTGCATCCTAGTGGAAGAAGTAGTGTTTTTACAGATAAATATAGGATATTTTTTTTAAAAGAAAGAAAGGGCACAGTAATAGAAAGAGATGAAGAGGGAGAGGGAGACATTGCTATTTCTGTATGGCAAGTACACTGTAACCAGCTGTACTGTCTCAGGGAGCTGATTGTTAAATTTTTAGTGTGAGCATTTACACCTAGAAAATCAGTAAACACTATAAATCAGGGCTTGGATTATTGCTTCATTGATTATCTAGACTTAAAAAAGTGATAAAGAAAATGTTAATAACGCAAATTAAATTTGAAATTGTGTCATGAGTACATTTTTCCGGGAGAGCCAATGGTTAAACGTTTACTAGTACATCCCTGGCCTTGTGACACCGTGTATGACTTTCCTAGAATTTCTGCATCAGTAGGCCTAGTTCTTCCCTTTGAGGCCAAGTAGAACAAGCTTAAGTCAGAAAGCTGCCAAAAGATACATTCCTAGGGGCAACTAAGTGGTTCAGTGGATACAGCGCCAGCCCTGAAGTCAGGAGAACCTGAGTTCAAATCCGGCCTCAGACCAAGCACTTGACAATTACTAGCTGTGTGACCCTGGGCAAGTTACTTAACCCCAATTGCCTAATAAAAAAAAAAAAGATACATTCCCTTCATTCTCCTGATCACCGCCTCTGCCAACTTTTCACCATCCTCCACAAAGTGTGTTCCCCAGAAAGAAATTATCTATGTCTGGCCGTTCTCCCCTCACTGTTCTCTTAGGGCTGTGATCTCAAGGGAAAAAGAAGACCATCCAGGAGATATTCATAGACTTACATACTGAAAATATGGCCAATATTTTAAAAATAGTATACCATTGGGCAACAGACCTGAGCTATATAAAGGCACAGTGTTCATAGCAAATACTGGCCTCCATGGCAAGAGCTCTTTAACTATTAACTTGTAGTAAATATTTTTAGGGGAATATCTCATGTGACATAACCACAAGCCTGGGGAAAGTAATAAATTTAGTAGGCCACTAACAAGAAATGCCTTAATTTATTACATGTGTACTGTGGGCTATGTGATCGGCATAGTGAAAAGAGAAACAGTAAGCTAGAAGAAATTTATGTGGGCTAGTAAATGCTTTCTCAGTAAGTGGAGCACTAGCAAAACTGTGGTTAAAGGAAAAAAAACAGGACTTTGAGTTCTTTCATCTGAATTTGATTTTTTAAAAAATAAACAGGCATTTATTAAGCACTTATTAGGTGCCAGGAACTGTGCTAAATGTTTTACAAATATTATTAATATTTGTAATAAAATATTACAAATATTATCTCATTTGATTCTCACAGCAACCCTGGCAGCTATTATTATCCCCATTGTACAGCTGAAGAAACTGAGGCAAACAGAGGTTAAGTGATCTATCCAGGGTCACACAGCTATTTCATCTCTGAAGCCAGCTTTGAACTCAAGTCTTCTTGGCTGACTCTGACACTTGATATATAAAGTCCTGTCTGGCATTTAACTTCCTACGTAACCTCTTCCCTTTCTGCCTTCCCCTCTGCACCCTCTATACTCCAGTGACACAGACCTCCTTGGCTGTTCCTTGAAGGAGCTGCTCCATCTCCAGACTCCAGACATTCTCCCTAGCCATCCGCCTTGCCTGGGATATTCCCCCTCTTCACCTCTACCTCCTGACTTCCCTGGCTTTTTTCAAGAGGCTATGTAAATCTCACCTGCTACTGGAGGTTCTCCGTCCATCAGCTGCTAGTGCCTTCCACTTTCAGATTACCTGCCTCCTACTCTGACTATATCTTGTATGCTGTGCTATTCAGTCATTTAGTTGTGTCCTACTCCTCCTGAGTCCGTTGACCATGGCACATCAATGCTGGGTGTGAGGGTTTCTTGGCAAAGACACTGGAATGATTTGCTATTTCCTTCTCCAGTGGATTAAGAAAAACAGAAGTTAACTAACTCACCCAGGGTCACACAGCAGTAACTACATGTGGCCAGATTTGAACTCAGGTCTTCCTTACTCCAGGCCCAGCACTCTATTCCACTGAGCTAACTAGCTCCCTCTAATCTTGTATGTACCCAGTTATTTATATATGGTCTCCCCCATTGGAATGTGAGCTCCTTGAGAGGAGGGGGCTGTTTTTGTTTTTCCTTGTATCCTCAACACTTTGCACAATGCCTGAGTGTTTAATAAATGCTTGTTGACTTAACTAGCTATATGACCTTAGGTAGGTCAAAGGGACATGCCTCTAGAACTAGAAGGAACCTCATGAGCCATGTAGTCCAGACCTCCTATTTAATAGATGAGGAGACTGAGACCCACGGAAGCTAAGTGATTTGCCCAAAGTCACACAGGTATTATCAGAAGTAGCATTCGAATCCAGCTCCAGCTTTTGAGTCCAGAAACAGTATTATTTCCACTGCATCACACTGCTTCCCCTGCCTTTTTGAGCTTCAGTTACCTCACCTACGAAATGAGGATATTTCTACTTTTGAACCATTAAAATGCTACATGCATTTACTTAATATGGACATATGCAAAGACAGTGTCACAAGGTGGATTAGAGAGTTGAATTTAATCTAGAAGACTTGGATTCAAGACCCACCTGTTACAGATACTGGCTCTGTGACCCCCTTCCTTAAACTCTAATTTCCTCCAGCAACTCTAAGACTATAAGCCACTAACTATTTCTAATCAGCTTTGCTAGAGGGAAGGTTTCTTTACCCAAGAAACACAAGCTTCTTCCGAAACTGATGAAATCACTAATCTGGCCCAAAAGCGGGGGAAAAAAGACTTGAAGGATTTTTGAAAAATTCTTCTCATCCCCACAGGGAAACAAATGTTGGACAAAATCCAGCCAGAGGCCAATGGCCAAACCTATGGAACCTTGCCTGATGAAAGCAACTCCACAAAGAGCCCAGGCGGAGAAAAGAAAGACATCTGAATGCCAAGAGGAATGTTTGTTGGCCTGTTATTCAATACCACCTTTAAAGCAAACTGCACATGTCCTGTTTGTGGCAAAAGTTATTTTATGGTGACATTTGTTCACATTGTGTCAGTGTTTCCTGCCTCCTCTCCTTTTGGGACAATCATGTGCCTGCTCAGCTTTGAGAAACTAATGCTTTCTGAAAACCGAAAAGTCTAGAAATGTAATCCGAAATTATTTTAATGTTCCAGACCTCTGACTAGTCATCATTTATTTGTCCTTGTAAAGTTTAAATATATCATAGATGAGTGTTTGTGTTTGGATGTGTGTGTACACATATGCAGGTGCATCATATTTCATATTCAAGCCAAACGTGTTTTGGAAGAATCAGTCTCCCTACTTTATATTCACTTCTTCTTACCTACTCCTGACACACTTCAAAGAAAGAGAGGCTTTATACCATTCCTTTTTTTTATGAGGGAGAATTATTTAAAGCATACTAATAAAGAACTAATCCTTGTAGTCCTAGATTAGTTGGGTGAATCATCTTTTCTAAAAATCAAAGCTTTTGCAGTCATCCTTTGAAAATTAAGGGCCTTTTGTAGACTGGATTTTTTTCAGCAGTACATCTAATTATGGACCTCAAAGCTTAATGTCCTTGGCTGGTGTATTAAAAAAAAAATACCCTATTTAAGATAGAAAAATTTTACTGGGAAAGAATACTTTGTAGTGTTAAATATGATAACTGATATTTATATAATGCTTTCAAAGTTTGCAAATCACTTTCTATAAGTTATCTCATTTCGACCTCATAAGAACCTTGTGAGGTAGGTAGATACCTATTTTATAAGTACATAGGTATCCCATTTTATAGATGAGGAAACTGAAGCTCAGAGAGGTTAAATGTTGGAGGCAGGATCTGAACCCTGGTATTCTGACTCCCAAGTCCAGTCCTCCATTATGCCATACTGCTGAATTTTCTTACAGAAGAATAAAAGGTTCAGATCCTTTTTAGTTCTGACGCTCAATATAATAATTGAGTTTGAAGAAAATCATCATATGCTATATCATACATTTTCCTTTCATTATGATGTCTTTGACAAATAGATTGTGCAATTTGATTTTTTTTATCAGCACAGATGTCAGAATTCCTATTAAAATTATTAGTGATATTCTCAGCTGCCATGTGCTGTTTTTATTGCAGGTAATTAGCTCAGAGATTTAAAAAGCCATTCTAGGTAAAAAGAGACAGTGCTAAAGAGCTGAATTTCAACTGAATTTTAACCTGTACTTACTTGTGGGAAGAGCCTATACATAAGTTATAACTTTCCAGAGTTCAAAAGCACAAAATATATTGAGATGGGCATTCTGTGACAGAAGATCACCTTTGATCTAATTTGTTTCCATGCAAAATTGATTCATAGTTTGTCATACCTGAATTGAGTTGAACAAATATGTATTAAATATTTCTGTTTCTTACTATGCAAAAAACATCATGCCTGGTTCTGCAGAGAGGATACAATGATTAGTATGACCATCTGGACCCTCAAGTAACTCGAAATCTTGTAGATAAGGAATAAGTTTTTGTTGTCATTTCATTTCAGTTGTGTCCACCTCTTCATAACCCTATTTGGGGTTTTCTTGGCAAAGATGCTGGAGTGGTTTGTCATTTCCTTCTCTAGTCATTTTTATAGATGAGGAAACTGAGGTAAACAGGGTTAAGTGGTTGCCCAGGGCCACACAGCTAATAAGTGGCCGAGACCAGATTTGAACTCACGAAGATGATTCCAAGCCCAGTGTTCTATCCAATGAGCCACCTAGCTACGAGGAATAAGTATTCAAATTACTATAGTATGAGGTGGCATGTTGATTGAGTTCAATTCAACAAATATTATTAAGCGCCTACCACGTGCAAGGCACCATGTTAAATGCCAAGGATTCAAAAACTAGTGGTCTTTGAACCCAGTCCCTGCCCATACCGTCCTCCAAGTCCCATTTGTTTGGTTTCTTTCTTGCTACCTCTCTTGAAGCAATTCCTCCTCATCTCTGCCTCTTGGAAGCCCTGGGCTCAGGCACCATCTCCTAACCCTACTTCAGCTTTAGGAGTTTGTTTTAGGTGAAAATAAATCTCCAAAGAGAAGAAAACAGCCCAGGCTGACCTAGACCATCCTGCTGTTAATGTTCTCTGGACTTCAGCTTACTGACCATCAAACCGAAGTCTTTGTTTTGATACTTCAGCTAGTGCTTTACAGAACGTCTCATCATTCGCTGAAGGTGACTTCGATCAATCAACAGGCATTTATACTAAGTTCTGGGTGCTGTGATCTAGGGTCATGGACAAAAGTGTCCCTGACCTCAAGGAGGTCATTCCATTCCAAGCAGGAGGGGGAGGAAGAGGTAATGTGTACAGATATAAATGAAATAGGAATCTAGTGCATGTGTATACCCATTGGCTTGCTAAGATGTCCCTATACCTGGAGGACAGTGAGATAACTTTCCAGGAGAATTGTTATGATGAGTAAGAGAAGTGCCTTGGGGAGACAAACTGAAGTGCATGTGTAGACATTCTTAACTTATTCTTGTTGGCAAACCACATGTGAGAAGAAGATGCCAAAGCTTTCAAAAAAGCCTGTCAACTTCAACTTTGGTCTTTTTGTCTCGTTTGCTTCTATAAGCTCTCAGTAACTCCTTTCCTCATAGCATCCAGTGAAGTAAGTATAGTCTCCAATCTTGGGAATTTCAAAAGTCAGGAAAGCAGGTAGGTAGCTTAATGGAACTGGGATGCTAGTCATTGGCCCCTAATAAATGAGGAGAATGCAGCCAATGGCTGTATAGAAAATACCACCCACAATCCCCTCAGGGTAGCCCAGAACCCTGAAGGGCAGTTATAGCCTGCTTTGGACTCAAGAGAATAGAGCCAGAGCAACATTTGATATCAATCAGCTTTTTCAAAGATATATCAAGAACCAACATACAAACATTTCCCCCCCACCCCAATACCTGTGAGCCATACTGTACCTTGGAGAGACATTTTTGCTAGATGATGAGCCATGACCTATGTGCTAGAATCTCATTGCATAATATATGATATACACATAATAATGTAGGCATAATATTAGATAGCTAGGTGGCTATCTCAGTGGCTAGAATACTGGGCCTGGAGTCAGGAAGACTGAAGTTCAAATCCAGCCTCAGACACTTATCTGTGTGACCCTAGGCAAGTCACTTCATCTTTGTTTGCCTTGATTCACTGGAGAAGGCAATGGCAAATCCGTATCTTTGCCAAGAAAACCCCATGGACAGTATGATCCACAGGATTATGAAGAGTTGGACACACCTGAACAAGTAAACAACAAGAAGTATGCAAAACAAATACAGGGTAGCCTGGGGAGGGACAGAACTGGTGGCTAGATTAGCAGAAAACCTACGTTAGGGGAAGAACTAAATTTTTCAGAATATCACATATTTGTTGTTGTTCAGTTGTGTCCAACTCTTCTTGGGCTCATGGATAGTCCATAGAGTTTTATTGGCAAGGATACTGCCATTTCTTTCTCCAGGTAAGTTAAGTGACTTGCCCAGAGTCACACAGCTAGTAAGTATCTGAGGCTGGATTTGAACTCAGGTCTTCCTGACTCCAGGCCCAGTGCTCTATCCACTGAGCCACCTAACTGCCCATACTAATATGGAAATATATTTTGCATGACTTCACATGTGTACTTGATACCATATTGCTTGCCTTCTCAAGGGGTAAGGGAAGGGTAGAAGGGAAGAACAGAATTTAGAACTCAAAATTTTAAAAAACGGATGTTAAAATTTTTCTGTGTGATTTGGAAATATTTAGCAAATAATACTATTTTTTAAAAAAAGAATATAGGTCCATATTCTGAATCCTTAAATCCCCAAATATCTAATATCTTTTATATAAAGGAAACAAAAACAGAAAATATGGTATCTTTATCACTACATAAATTCCTCATTCCTTTTGGTAGTTCCCATTTAGATTACCACCTAGCTAGATTAAAAAGGTCTTTATTGAACGCACACTCCAGGTTGATAATAATGTTGGGGATGAGTAATAAGGCACCTCCCATCTAACAGATTAAAATAGAGGCCTTTACCTTCTGCTTATGAATCAGTTTACATGTCTGTTAACCCTATAATTTGTAATACTTATGTGAACAGGATCACTCGAAAAAGAAAATACAGGAAAATTTTCCTAAAGTGGTGACTCAGAACGTGGGCTCCAACTTTTTACCCCCTCTGGGTACTGGGGAGTCTGTTCTCCAGGTGAGAAAGCAGAAAAAGCCAGACAGATTTAATGAATTATCTTTATCTCTGGGCCTTTGAAGAGAAATATCAATCAATAGAATGTGAGACCGAGTCCGGCGAATGCAGTAAGACGGGCACACAGTGACATGTAGCTGAAATGTTCAGATGGCTCTAAGGAAGCCCAAGTCCTGAAGGCAGATTCACCTCTGATTGACAAGCTGTCACTTCCAGAGTCGGCACCCTGCCCCTGTCACACTGAGCTGTCTCCTAGAAATGTGTATGACAGTTACCAAGATCAGCCCTTTCCGTAGTCACTGAGGATGAGTTTATTGACATTGTGAAATTGGCTGTCAGGAACAGGCCTTTTACCTGACAGTGGCAGGAGAACTTGTGTGTGTGTGTGTGTGTGTGTGTGTGTGTGTGTGTGTGTGTGAATACGAGGAAATTCAAGTACCTTCATGGCAGTGGTGGGAGTGTGCTAAGCCAGCAAGATTCTGAAGCATTCTGAATTGGTCAGTGACCCAATCCTCAAGTCAAATCCAACATTATTATTTGGAGAATTGTGACCGGGCTTCAAATTGTCTGGCTCATCAATGTACAGATTTTCATTACCTTCACGCCCCTTTGAAAGAAAAAAAAAAGAAAATCTACATGTACAGAATTTCCATTAAAAATACATATATAGACCAGTCTGAGAATATTAAATTTAGGTTGAAATGTTTTAGTCCTTGCTGTCTCTTATTACCTAGCGCTTGGAACTGGTGAGACCCACGGGACAAAGTTCCCACCCAAGAATTCTTGGGTCCATCACCTTTCTTTCTCATCAGCCTTGGGGTGTAGGACAGCTTGCTTCCTATCATGCCAAGAGAGTCATTCGCTTTCTGGAGACACTGCTGAGCCCAAAGAATACTGTTTTTTTCCCCTAATAAGGGATAAAATCCATCCACCCCTGTCAGGGCTTGTTGAGCAGTAAGGAACACCGATTCCGACATAAAGGACAAGTGGCAGTCCTGAAATCTAATAAAGGTAATGATTCTGGGGTGGAACCTGCT